TTGGTATAGGTGATTACACAGATAATAAAATTATAAAAAACATATTATGTAATTAGCACGTGCTTTGTGATATGTGTACAATCTATTGGGAAATATCAAAAAGGCATTTTATTGCCTTCCGCAGCAAATATTGACGTGCATCTTTGTCCAATGTGTGGTCCTTTAATTAGAATGTGGAAATACCTACAGTCAATAAGTTTTATATGTTTATAAATGCAAAATGTAGACATGGCTGTTTTTTATAAGACTTAATTAAAAAACGAGACAGAATTCATTCGTTAATTTTAGATTCAAAATGTATGTAGAAGTCCAGGGAAGGTTTTATTTTTCCTGGTCATATACCATTAACAAATCATAGCGTTGGTATTAAAAAAATTGTGAAAATCAGTATTTAACATTACAATGGCCTGTAGTCTTTCTTTTTCTTATCTTTGATCTTTGAAGGGTTATATCCTTGAAAGTTGGCAAAGGTATAATGTATCCTTTTTTCATTAGTTAAGGTTTGAGACCCATAATATTAGATATTTTTTATGTAATAGGAAGGCGAAAGACCAGACGAATTACCTGATGGTCAGCAATCAGCGCCACCCATGAACACCAGCTACAAAAGAGGAGTTGAGAGTGCGTTGTCGACCTTTTGATGATTAGGATTTTGGAAGTTTAGGGATCGGGTAGGGATTGGAAGAGTGCAAGGATTGAGCCTACACTAACCTCACTTACTCAGCGAAACACAACACTGCTTGTTTTACGTCGGAAGTCGTGGTATCATTCCGGTTGGGTTGACCATTTCGTGCTGAAGTGCCTCTCCCACACTTACTATTATAATAATATAGGTAGTAATAGCATCTATTCTTAACGTGGTAATAGGGTTGTTAAGTTTATATATCTAATAGTACGAGGGTAGTTTTCAAATAGGTAGTCAAATTCAATATTTTTATCCGAAAGTCACTAGCACTAATGTTATAGTTTTCTACGAAGTTAGCAACTTATCTAGACTAATATTATAAAGAGGTAAAATTTACAAGTTTGTATGTAGGGGGTAATCTTTGAAACTGCTGATCGGAAAGCCAAAATTCTTTCATTGATAGATAGCTACAATGTCCCGGAATGCTATAGGCTATAAAACATCACGCTACGATCTGTAGAAGCGGGTGAAACCGCGCAATAGTAGCTAGTGACTTCTTGATCGGCGGCGGCGACCTCTCGCGCCCGGCCTTAGTCGAGGCCATGGTGCGGAGTGAGAGGAACTGGGACGCCGTCTCCTCATTTTGTGAAGCAGTCATGCTCGCAAAGAGAGAGGCGACCCGCGTGAGGGAGCAATCTTCCTCCTCACGCCCCAGCCGCCGCAACTGGCGACACTACGGGCGTCGGGGATCGAGGGACGATCTCCGGCCACCGTAAGCACGGGTCTGCGGTCGGCGAATAAGGGCAGCTTGCCGCCCGACCAGAACCAGGCCCGAGCGTACGGCGCGTAGCGTTCCGCGCGCGCCTCGAAGAGCCAATAGACCACCACAGACGGGGCCCTAAAGGGCTGATGTTCAGCCGGGGTGGCGGGGTAAGCGCAATGAGGCACCGAGACCTCGGCCCAGAGCAGGAGAAGGAACAGGGAGGTTTTTAGTCAGTAAGAGTCTGACGCTCCCTCCCTCCCGGCCCTGGGCGGGAGAAGTCATTTGATGATTTTCCCCTCACAAAAAAAAAATGATGTTTTTGCGTCAGATGGCATAGATACTTATTTCTCAAAAAATTCTAAATAAGTATAATTTATTTTTCATTTTACCTAATTATACATTCATAATAGGCGTCTGTACGCACAGTAGATATTTTCACCCACTACATATCACTTTTTAAGTACGTAAGTCAAAGTACCATATCTATACTCATGTAGGTATGGTCAGATAAAAATGTTATTACTTTGATCTGTTGCTTTGATTCTGTTATATCTCATTAATCGTATGTTGACTATTAAAGATTTGAGATATCGGTAATAGATATCAGGTAATAGTGATAGCTTAATTGTTTATGCATTTCAATCGATTATTTTTATCCTATCACTATTGCACAATATTGACGCAATAAAAAAACCTTGGGAGGGACCGGTCAGCATATCTCTCCGATAAACATTCTGGACCAAAGCACTACAATTAAGCATTTTAAAAACTTTAAGACTTAAAAAAGAAGTTATAACGCCCAGATTTGAAAAAATAGGTGATAGGGCCCAGAATAAAATAAAAAGTAGTTTTAAGGCTAAGATTTTTAATTTTAGATATAAAATGTTCGTAATTTTGTTTAAATTCAGTAAAATCATCAAATGACTTCCCTCGCCTTGAGTCGAGTCGAGGGCGTCAGACCCTTACTGACTAAAACTCCGATCCGGACCGCGATATAACTTTGCGTTTGTACCGACAACTCCCGCTAGGCATCAGTATTTGTGTCCCCATCAGTGGTGGTTTGATGGGTCTTTGAGAACACCTTCTCATTAGAGGAGCAGTAGACTGTTGCAGGCTGCTGATGGTCATGCTTTTGACTGCCGAATCAACAACTTTTGAAGGGAAATCCTCTAGGTACTCCGGTAGGTCATCGGTGACTTACGAAGCGGTTACCGTGTTAACTAAGGCTTGTGTACAGACAACTACACATGTTCAATTTAACTTCATATACATAATTATTCTTGCGGCGCCAGTGAGCACTTTTATGCGACTTTTTTTCAATGTAACCTTAGCATTTTATATCACTGTAATTTGTCATTTTCTATCAATTTGTTCTGGTCACAAAAGTTTGTGTTATTGTATTATTTGTACGCGATCTTCCTGTCTATATCAATGAGAAGCAGTCAATCAATCGACTATCATCCAAGTGTAGCTTACAATCCTTACAGGTTGGATATACCTAATGTTTCAAATAAATTTTCCTGCGTTAATATTTATAAACGGTTGATGATGATACAGCTTGTGCCGTGTAATATTTTTCCTGTTCCTTTTTAATTCTGTGGCTAATGAAAGAGGTGAATGATGTTTTCATTCGATAACGTCATTTTGAGATAAAATATAGCAAGAAGGTGTTGAAGAAGTGTTTGGAAAAGAGGTACATTAGAATTGCGTTAAGTATTAATACACCGCTGTTGCTACAATTGAGGTATTTACTTAATCATTTTAAGTAAAATTGAGATACCACAACTCCGGCCTCGAGCAGGAGAAGGAAGGGGATGACGGCACTCCCTCCTGCCTCACCTAGGACGTAAAAAGTTATTCCGTCATTCCCATAAACTGGTTGTTTCTTATATGAAATAGTTTAAACGACTAATGTGTATTTTACATTGTTTGATGCATATTTTATTGCTCAGTTTTCTTTAGGTATAATTATGAGTTCTACGTAAAAAGAGAAAGAGAAATGTAAGAACTTACTTATTGTCATATACTGGGCACAACTTACTCCATAGTAAACACTGAATGAAAAAAACTTTGTAGGTTGTCAAGAATTGTTCAAGAAAAAGAAATAAACCTTGTCTTTACACGCTGTATAAAAATAAATTAGATTATCTTAAAAATACATTATAGGCAGTTTATCTTGCCTCCTACAACACAAAGTCAGTGTCATCATTTTGATAAAATTCATTTACCTACCCATAGATGGCGCTTAATTATAAAAATATTAATCTCAGATAATGATGCAAGAGGAAGTCTCTTTGAATAAATAAGTTTATCGTCAGTTATCAGTGCATGAAGTCTGACGTGGGATGCGACCGGGGTTGAGCAATTAGACGACGTTTATGATAGTATGGAGGATGGAGTAAACTGCATCGAAATCTTCAAAACATATAAACACGAAGTATGTATGTACAAAAATATTATGGACTATGGAGACCCATCCCAAATCATCACCCCTATCCTGCCAAAGTTTTACACTCTGAATCGTTAACAGCCATAAGCACCATTGGTAAAGCAACCATAAGCTTTGCTCGGTTCAAAAGCTTGACGCTAGATGTCACGAGTGAAAAATAATCGAAAGCTGCCATTGATCAATAAGAGATGGCGCTACTAGTCTCGTTTTATAAAACTACGTATCGTACACTAACTTTGTTGTGGGTAGCCGAGACTGATAAGTTTACTCAAAGACAGTACGTATGTAAGTACGTAGATGATGATTGTTATCATTCTTGTAGGTTTAGTGGTCATTTATTCGGTCTACGGAACTTATTACTATTTTGAATATCAATATATTTTTCTATTAATTAACGATGTAGATACACGCGTCAATGTAAATTATTTTCATGAATGTGTCGACTTCACCTTGATCGACAACCGGGTGTAAATGTATTCATCGATATCTACATTGAATGAGGAATAAAAACACTGGATAATGAGTTTTACTACCTTGGACGTGTGATACTAGGCGTAGTTTTCTCTGTACTGCGTAAATGAGGTTGCAGAAGAAACATATTTATGTATCACAACATTTTTTCTTAGTCAATTACATCTATCCTAATTATGGTGGCTCACGTTTTCATAGACAGCTTGTTTACAAGGCCTGTGACCAAGTGCAGCACTGACTGGCCTTTACTGTCCGTGGAAAGTATGGACATGCCGTCGATGTAGCACATCACAGCGAGCACCGACACGCCGAATGTGTACGAATATTGTAAACAGGAAAGTTACCGAGCACGCGCTCCGGGCCAACGTGTCAGAGGTCCGAGTCGTGCCCTTAACCTCCTTACATTATCACTGTCTGATTTGTTATGTTTCATTTACACTTTGGCAGATTCCAGTCGAATCTATTTATAAACATATCAATAATCATGTTATTGATTTAATCACGTTAGGGTAATTGTCAGGGCTTCGTAGGTCAGTGTAATAAAATACAGAAATAGGGTACATAATATTTTTTTATTAATTTACTCTTGTATTTTTTTTCACATTTCTGTGAATTCTTTGCAACGATAAAAATATAACAATACGAACTGAATCATGTTCGATACAACATTTCTTAAACAATAATATTTACTATTTAATATCACAAGTACACTTACAACCTAATTTTTATTAAAGCTTTCAAGTTTGGACTTACGATCTATGATTTTAACTTATATGCTAACTGATTGTGAGATCTAAAGTTATGTTGATATCCTCGACACGTTTCACTAGTTTCTGGACGTTAGCGGACACATAGCGCGCGTGCGGCTCCGACGGTGCTGGAACAGATGTGACCGCGGAGCCGGGTCCGCCAGCTCCGGGCACTCTGCTTACCAGGGTCGCCACACTGCAGGGCTCTTGCTGAACGAGCTGGTGGTGCAGTCCAGAGGGGTGGCAGTGTGCATGTGCACTGGTGAGGCAGGCGGTGAAGGGCTCACATATCCAGAGGTCGAGCTGGCGGTGGACAGAGCAGGGCTGGGTGGGCTGGCCGGAGGAGTGTCAGCCGCGGCAGCAGCGCGCTGCATGTCGTTCAGTCGGTGTCCCAGGTGGGTCATGAGCTGAGTGCCCAGCCTCACATCCACACCAGGAATTGAAGCCAAGCAGCGAGACACTTCGTTGGCAGCATGAGTGAATCCAGCACGGAAACGGTCAGCATCCACAGTGGGGTTCAGCGACAGGCGGCGCTGACGGCGAAGTTTGTGAAGATGGCGAACGGTCAATTCCAAAATATCAGCTTTTTCCAATTTTGCAACATTTTCTCCTTCAGACTGAAGAGCGCTGACCATCAACTCCTTGAGTTCGTCGAGGCAGCGGTTGATGCGAGCGCGCCTTTTGCGCTCAAGCATCGGCTTCATCACTTTGCGATATTGATAAGTACGCGAGACTGGCTGCGGGCCGTCGTCTGCGAGCGAATACGCGATCTCGTAAGACATGTTAGACATTTGTGTGTAGCGAGTGGAGGTGTGCGTTTGCGTTGAGCGTTGAACGCGGAATGCGGTACGTCCGCCGGACGGGGGCTTATATAGGGAGCGGAGGGCGCGCGATCGTGGGAACGCACGGAGCCGTCGAGTTCCCACACGCGCCACCTGTGCGGAGCAGCTGCCGCCGGGGCGGGGAGCGCGGGGGGACACGCGCCGCGCCGCGCGTGCGCGCCGTAAACAATCGGCGGCGCGGGCGCACGCCGCGACGCCTGGCCCCGGTAATTGCCGGTGTTGCGGACGGATTCTATGTTAGCTGCTACTGACTAACCTAGGCCGCTGTTTAGAACTTACCATTTATAGATGCTAACTGCCGCAATAGCTACGATATAGAGACAACTGTAGTAAGACTGATTCAACGCTGACTATCAAAGCAGTAGCAATCGTCTCTTTAAATATTTCCAGTCCTAATAATATTTTTTAGGACAGTTACAAAATCTTCGTACTTTGCTTGTTTTATGAAAATATTTTGAAGTCGCGTAGGCCCGGGCTACGAGAACGCTACGGGGTCTGCGTAGCACAGTATTTTGTCACCACAACTTACTCAGTTTGTTGCATCAGCAATTAATCAAAATGTTATTGCTGTATAAATAGAGCTTATATTTCATCAGCACATATTTAATTAAAGTTGCGTCTAATTAAGATCAGATTTATGCATAAAGTGTTGCAATGTAATGCCGGTGTAAAGCGATCAATCAGGCGGCGGCCGGCGGAGCACAATAGCAGCGTCAATTATACTTTGTTCGCCACTCGGCTACTGTTGCCGTTCATCAATCACGGATTACGCGCCTTAATAATTATTGACAGACAGAATTACAGCCGCGAGCCGCAGTGGCCTAAATGAGAGAACTTGGGTAATGAGGTGGCAAGCGAGGGAGAGGTTCCGGAAAGGTGTCGTGTGTTGATGTGTGACGTATGTTGTTGTTGGTGTGTGTTGTGGCGCCACGGCGCATGCTGTGGTGCTCGGTAGCTGCTCCGCGGGACGTAGGCGGTATTAGTCAGAGAGGCGCGCGCGCACTCGAGTGGGCGGCGGCCTACGCTTGACGCCGATGAGATATTGTCCACCGGGTATCGACACGCGTTCATTATCGGTGATCGCACTGCGTGAGTGCGTGCTTTCTCCCAGCTACACCCACCAATACACTCCAAATGTTTCTTTATTGTATCGATGTGTAGGTTATGACATTTGCATATTTTATAAACTACATCATGCGTCTCAAGATATCATTTACATAATAATTGATACCGAGTCGTTATCTCCGACTGTGTGGGTTTTATTTTTATCAGTAACGCTCGCAAATTTATTTAGAAGACGATGTCGTATAATGAGTGAGTCATATCGTTCTAATTATTATTTTTAGGAATGTTTTGTAACTAAATGAGTACTTGAAGGCTACTATGACGGTAGTATGTAGTTCATGTGGTATAGGCGTACTGAGTGTTGTTTAATAGTCACTTTATCAAAATATTCCACGAGCTAATGCGGTGAACGGAAAAATGACAATTTGTACTAATCGTCGACGTACGGAGTCGGGCACGCTTCGCTTCGAACCCGATATGATGAGTATGACCATTATTAAACATAATTATTAATTACTATTTACATTATGGAGTGGAAAGATTTTTTTCTTTAAATGATGATTATTTTGGTCATATTTTACAAATTTACACATCGTGAATGTAAAACACGTGATAATTGTCATCAGCGATTTGGAACCATAATAATTCATTAATAAAATGTACATGGAAAATATAGTACCTACGCACCTTAAATATAGTAAATTATTCGCATATGGCAACAGAATTTGATTTCTTACAATGTATCGTATGTATGTAATTTTAAAGTCGGTTTTCTATACATGAAACCGAATCGAAATATTATCATTACCTACCTATGTAGTAATGAATAGAAGTCTGCCTAGACAGGACAGAGACAACAAAATACGCAATTAAGTAACAATATACCTACCTATTTCAAATAACTAAGTAAACATATTATTTATCCATTCGGACAACAATAATGTCCCTTGTCTGTTCTTGTCTGGCACAGGCATTAACGTATTGATTAACAAAAGATTATATGATAAGATATTACAAGGAAATCAACATGATTTAAGTGTGACAAAATTTCCAACCTGTTCGAATGTATGCACAATAGGAGCAACCCAGCTACCTGTCATCTAATAGCGGGAACACGCCGCCGCCACAGATAAAAAAAACGACGGAATTAGAGAGGGGACTTAGTTGATTTTCGGTTCAAGTGCAGATTAATAATTCTTTGTAATTAACCGAAACTATTGTTAATTTTGAAAAAGTATATTGTGTTTATTGTTAGGGTTGCTATTGTCTATTTTGTGTAGTTATCGAGTTTTGAATGTAGATTAAGTGGGGTACCTATTTTAAAAATGGTTTAAGAAGTGCTATTTAAAACAAAAGAAGGTATTATTTCATATTGTGCATATTTATTAAAACATTTATTTATATTATATTTAAAAACCGAAACTGACAATAGTTAGTAGTTGAATTTTAGCTCTAATTGCTAATAGTTCTAGCGATCACTTTATTCAACGGCTTGTTTATTTATTTTTATTCTTATTTTCGACAAAACATGATGGCTTTTAGTATGAACATATTTAGACTTTAGTTTGATATGAGCATAAAGCTGGTTTATAAATACTTTAGTATTTACTATACAAATAAAACATAATTGGTATGAAATATCAAGCACATTGATTTCATAAAAATCCGTTGACTCTTGATAATATAAGGAACGAGTGTAGGCGGGCGGATGCGGTAATTGCGTGTCGTTTATTGCAACGCCATTTTGAAGCCATATTATTTATTAAATTGCGTAAAAAAACATAATAATGTAAATATAACGCGCAGGATATTTGATCACTTGTGGTATTTGGTGTTAATGTTTTTGACGTTCCTTTTATAGAAATAAAAGTAAGTATGTTTTTCATTAGGTACATTACGTATAAGTTTATGAGATTTTAAAGGTTATCAAAATCTGGGTTATTATTTAGATTTCAAAGTCAAGTTTGCAATTTTATTAATACCTTGTAAAACGGGAATACACAGATTATTGTACTAGTGTAAGCTTATTTAGACACAACTGAAGAAAAAACGTCAGAAGAAACAATTTTTTATTATAATTGTTATTCTAAGTATGCAATCTTCTCTCTGTTTGAGCGAGCATGGCTACTAATAGTCAAACCTTCTTCGTTTGAGAAGAGGCCTTTGCTAACTAGTGGGAGCTTATAGGTTGATGATGATGAGCAAGCTAATCTCTGGAACTACTGGTGCGAATTGACCAATTAATATTTTGGAAGATCAATTAATCGTGGAAGGCACGTTAAAGTCAAAATTGTTTACAAAACGAGTACTTAAGTATATCGCATAAAGTACTTTTTCATTTACACGTGCCATACGTACAAACAGTACAATCATCCTTGCAGTACTTATAGCAGATAATAAAGATAGTGTGTTCTTTACTCAGGATTCCCCAACAATTTGTAAACTAGAGTTAATGTAAAAACATAATCCGTTTCATTACTCGCTTCGTCACAGCAAAGGAAACCGTCGGGAAACCTAGAATTATAATTTCTAATTATTAATTTAAAGTGCACCTTGAGCAATCGTAGTGGTGAATTCTTAAAGCTTCTCCATGTAAAATCTTAAAGGCTGATGACGATTAATCAAGACTTAATAGTGGAGATTTTGGTCATTACAAATTCATTGGAGGAATTTCCTCGAATTTTGTTGCACATTTTGAATTCGACTTGAAAAAGTAAACCACAGAATAAAACAAATAATAATTAAAAAAAATAATGGAATATTGTAATAGATCTTCATCGAAACGTTAACTAAATGACCGTTAATAAAAAATGTTTAATATGGCGCCAAAATGGTCATAGATTACGGGACCCCAACTTGGAGGGTTACAACCCAAGGTCAAGGGCAAAAAGGGGCCAAGACAGAATTGTACAACCCTCCGTTTGAACATTCTTAACCTTTGTTTAATTTGCCACGGGTTAAAATTACACCATTAAAAGTAACTCTTTCATTATCACATTCTAAGTACGTATCTCCTTATCTTAGGCACTTTATGATCAATTTCCAATCTAAATGAATTGTATGAGTAACGATACAAAAGTGTGATTCATAATAATCTTTCTTAAAATACGCTATCTTAGTATTTACTAGCAATCTCTTATTAAATATCATTAATGAAAATAAGCGATTGACTTGTGACTCACCGTACAAAGTCATTCGAAAGAATGTATTAGTAATTTACGTAATTTAGAACAAATTGTCAGTATGTACTATGTGTCATATATATTATTGCAAGGTACCCCTTGTATATGAATGTCCATTATGTAATAAAAACATTGCCTGCATCATATAGTGACGCACGCCGTAAGGTGATACAATTGAATGAATGTATACATTACCTATGTTTAGTACCTAATACTTCACTATGAAGAGATGAAGGTTGCAGGTTTGGATGACGAACCTTCTATAATTTATTTTAGGCTTCATTAGCATCAGCATTAGGTCTTTTTTGGTTTACTTTATTGGGTAGTTTGGCAAATGATCAGACAGATCACTGGATGGTTACCAATCGGGACTGCCCATAGCCACCCATAGCACAACGCGAGTGCGTTACCGCCCTATTGTGTTTTTTTAACGATAGTGGAATAGGGGATTTGGAGATTTTCTGGAAGTAATGGGCCTCCGGTAACTTTACACACACTAAAACACAACGTAAGTGTTGTTCCACGTCGTTATTCTGCGAGGCAATGGTATCACTGCTAAATATATGCCAGGTTGACCAATTATAAGCGATTTTGGGATAAGTTAGTATGTTTCATCAATTCTTCTTATTAATTTGTATTACACACTAGGATATATATGTGACTCAAGCCCTATTTGAAGAAGACGTATTAACCAGTGGTTTGGCCACGGCTTGACCCCTTAAATAACTTTGTACAATATAAATTTAT